AAGGAAGGAAATAGGAGTGGTATTAGTGGCAAACATGTGTGACTAGCTTCTCTTTGGTAGAAATGGGACTTTCTAGATGTGTGATGCTCCTGGACAGACTTGATCCCTTACATCTCAAACACAGACAGAAAGCTGTGACCAGCCACCACTGTGGCACCATATGGGTATTTGGAGAGATGTGTGCACTGAGACAAAGAGGCTTCTTTGAAGCAGTTTCCCAAATGAACCCAGAAAACTAAGACCATTCAAACATCTAGGAATACTTTAATCAAAACTCAAACTCCCACTAGGCATGATGGATCATGTCTTTAATCCCAGCACTTGGATAAGGCAAGAGGATCACAAGTTCAAAATCAGCCTGGGCTAAATAGTGAGCCCCTGTCTCAGAAAAATCAAACCAAACCAAACTCCAAAGTCCCTTACAGGCTGCTGGTGGAAAGCAGTGAGCATGAGGCATAAGTGTGTCTCTGAGTCATGTCTTGAGCTGGGGACAGAGACGGTATGAATCTTCTGTTGAGTCTCTCACAATGTGCTGAATTTTCTCTCCACTGCTTTTTCCTCCATGGAATTTTCTTTTTTAATTAAAATTTTAGTTAATGCATAAAAACATAAAGATTATACATATTTGGGGGGTACCATGTGGTGTTTCCACGTATACATATTGTATAATGTTTAAATTAGGGCAAACAATACTGCTCTTAAACATTTATCTTTTAAAACAAGATTCATTTTGCTTTTAAAATACATGTATATGTGGGGAGGGAGGTTATGTGCACTTGTGAGTGCAGGTGCCCGTGGAGTCCAGAAAGGGTGTTGAATCCCCTGGAGCTGGAGTTACAGGCAGTTGTGAGTCACCTGACATGGGTGCTGGGAACCAAAATAGGGGTCTTCTGGAAGAACAGTACACATTCTTCACTATTGAGCCATCACTCCAGTCTCAACATTTATCTTTTTTGTTGTTATTTTATTTTGGTGTTGAGGGTCAAACTCAGGACTTCACACACACTAAGTAGATGTTCTACCACTGAGTTCCACCCCCATCCCCTTTAAATATGTAAACCTTCCTTTATTCTACTTTCCTGAAATACTCAATATATCATTATTCTGGTTAGATTTTATCAACTTGACGTAAGCTAGAGTCACCTAGGAAGAAGGAATCTCAACTGGCCTCCACCAAACTGGCCTATGGGCATGTCTGTGAAGGATTTTCTTAATTGATGTAGGAGAGCCCAGTTCATTGTGGGCATGGATGGTACAATTCCTGGGCATGTGGGCCTGGGTTATATAATAAAGCTAGCTGAACAAGCCAGGGGGACAAGCCAGTAAGCAGCATTCTTCTGTGGTCTGTGCTTCAGCTTCTGCCTCCAGGGTCCTGCAGTTCCTTCCCTGGTTTCCCTCAATGACAGTCTGTGATCAGGACATATAAGCCAAAACCTCCTCAAGTTGGTTTTGATCAGAGTGTTTTATCACAGCCAGAGAGAGTGAATTAGGGCAATTACCATTGTTTATAGCCATGTGTCTATTATATTTTTAAACTCTTTCCCATCTTCACAACTTCAGGCTTAGCTTGGAGAAAGCAGCCAGCCCCTGTTCTAAAGATATTTCTCTGGAGGCAGAGAGTCATATCAGGTACACAGAGCACCTAACAAGTGACTGTTGAGCTGGGGTTGAGCATTCAAAGAGACCAAGCTCGCTTGTCTAGAAGAAAGAACTCATAGGTAGGAGGGTCAGTGGCCAGACTCTCAGTTCTTGAGGTTCACGTGGGAACATCCACTCCTGCTTCCTGAGATGGGCCTGTGACTCACCTGGCCAGCCACAGCCTTATAAGAGCTCCTCAGATACAGTGCTGAAAGAACTACTCCTGTGCCTGTGTTGGAACTTGTGAGAAGAAGCTTTTTCTACTGAGGCTGCCCAGACAATGGGTGCAAAGCTGGAGTTGTCGGCTGCCTTCCTACAGCCGCTAAGGGAGGGGCTGTCTGAGAATGAAGCCAGCACAGAAGTAAACAAAGGCAAGGGGTGGAGACTGCAGGACCAAGACCCTCTGACACCAGCTGAGCTCCTGGGTTCAACCACACCTGAGAACATAGCACCAGACTTTTCAGTTAAGTAAATCAGCAAATGCATGCTTGACTTAGGCTATTTGGAGGTGTCTCTATCCTGTATACGCAACACAGTCTTGACACACCTATCTCTCATGTAAGACTGCTGTGAAGCTCACACGAGAAAACACATATGGAGTACAGTTGGAAGGCTTCTAACTGTTCTTATTGGATAATGATAAAGATGACAATAACACTAGAGGAAGGGCCTTACCAGTACTCTTCCCCTCCAGCCATGCATTTTTCATACACAGGTCCCTCTAGTTCCCGAGGGCTGGGGAAGATGGCTTCATGGTGGATAATGATGGTTTTGATGACCTCATTGACGTGTGCCTGGCAGGATACAGGGTCCTGTCCATCAGGGATGTGCATGAGAGTGGGTCCAAAGCAGATGGCCAGGTTGTAGGGATCCATCATGTTCTCATCACTGTACTGGGAAAGGCTGGAGAAAGCAGGTACCCACCAGTCAGTCACCCAAGAGATAGATCCTTCCGTTTGGTTTCTTTCTTTTGTGGGACTCTACTCAAATGCAGGAATGCTCCAAGTTCTTAGTTAAAACAGTAGCACCTATAAGAGTCTTAGGACAGCCCCCTCCCAGAGGAGGCCTTGGCCATCACAGAGGGCTCCCAGGGCCAGGTACTCACTGGTTGAGGAACGCGAAGAGGTATCTCATGACCACAATGACCACTCGGGGCAGGGTGACTAGGATCTGCTGGATCTGGTGCACCCTGTCAGCTGGGTTTTCCAGTTCTGTAATGCACAGAGGTTTCAGGGTGCCTGTCATCCTCAGAGAGTAAGGCAACAGAAGTCCCCAGGCCCACCTCCTCCAGCAGCCATGAGGACCAGTCAAGCTCTACACTCACTTGAGGGATTCATGTGAGATTTTGTCCAGGCCAATCAGAACATGAGAGATTGGGCGCTTGGCCTACTCAGAACCTCTCAGAGCTAGCTGGTCCTTAGGACTTCTGAAAAAAAACCTACAGAGAAGTGCCTTGAAATTAAGAAGAAGGAAGTCTGGAGCAACTGTGTGCTGCCTGGAGGGAAGGTTCTCCCTGAGAGACAGAGGTGGGACAGAAACCTGAGGGATGACATGTTAAGTCCAAGACAGGCGGATCTAAACTTTACAGGTAAGGGAACCCATACATTCTGTTTTCTGAAGTTGAATAGCTCACGTTTCTGTCACTGTCAACCTTCAAGGCCTAATGGTACAGGCAGGAACGATGGCTTAGTAAAGTGTAACAAGTACCAGCTGTAGCACAGGCCTGGCATACTGTAGTCACTCAGAAAATGAATGGTGCATACACAGGAATCTCTTGAGTGATCTATTAACCAGAAGCTTAACACATGGCTGAGATCTCATCTGGGACCTGTGCTCAAGTGAACTCTAGACAGAGAGGCACTGGCATGTAGTCTGGTAAGACAGGACAGTACCTATGGGGCTAGGAAGCAGTGGTTATAAGAAGTGAGTGCTACCTGCAGGGCTGACATGCCACGCACTGTCAGTGTCTTCCTTCAGTAACATTTTCCTCACAGAACCCCAGTCTCCTAAAGCCTGCCTTTTCCTCTTTTTCTTCAGCAGCCAAGGACCTTCAAGATGGGCTACCAACACTCTTGCCTGCCTCATCATCTAAGCCACTGCTCTTTGAAGACCGCCTGGAGCCATGCTTCTTAACGAGGGGTTATTGACAAAGCTGAGGTTCTTTCATCCTGACAGTGCAATATGTAGGGTTGTACAGTCAGTGCAAGTCAGACCTGGCATTTGGTATCCATGTGCCTGAATGTGTAGAGCATGCAACTAGACATTTCCAGGTTTAAATTTCAACAGGGTAATCCCTCTAGCTCACTGTCAAGGCCTGGCTGGAGGAAGCCTTGCCAAAGCCAGCTTATAGCCTCTTGTGCACAAATCAATTCTATGGCCCTCTACAGGCCATCCAGGGACTCCTGCCAGTGACTTGGCACCACTTCTGTGACTGTTTACTACATTATGGTTCTTAAATACACTTATCTAAAAGGGGAATTTTTTAAAAGAAAATATTTTATTTATTTGATTTATGATGAGTGTTTTATCTGCATGCATTTATGTGTACTACATGCATGCAATGTCCATGGAGGCCAGAAGAGGCTTCAGATCCCCTGGAACCGGAGTGAAGAATGATGATCAGCCACCATATAAGTGCTGGGAACTGAACCACAATCCTCTACAAGACCAGCCAGTACTCTTAAGCACCAAGTCATCTCTCCAGCCCCTAAAAAGGGAACTTTATGTCACCCTGTTCATGTGAAAAAGGAGGATCACTTGTCATAATTAGGAGGTGACATAAAAGCAGGTAACAGTGGGGATGTGTTCTGAGACATTCTGTGGATGTCTAAAAACAGGGAGAGGGTCAGTCACTTCTGCACCGGCCGTTTTCCCTATGTGTACATACCTGTGATAAAGGTTAACTTATCAAATAGTCCCAGGAAGATGCTAACAATTAATAATGAAGGAGAAAAATTATAACAGTACACTTGGATAAAAGTCACTTAAAACTTCAAAGTTATTTCTAGATTTTCCCATTTAATAACCCCAGACTGCAGTGAAGCGCACTTCAGACATTGAAAGCACAGATGGGGAGCAACTGCACAATAAATGCAAGTCAGTGCCACCAAATTACAAGCAGATCTTGTTTACAAAAGCTCCTGAGGCTGAGCCTGGTCCTGTGTGTTTGGAAGGGATGTTGAGGTGTAGGAGTTTCTCCTTGATATAATCACAAGCTTGGAGGAAATGGAAAAGACCTTCTCACATGTGACTCAAGATCATGACCTGTTTGGGACTGGCCTCCCTGTCCACTCAGGGCTCTGCACAGGACCTGGATTATGACGATTTAAATTTACAACCCTGGTTAAGCAAGTGACAGGGGGCCCAGAGAGGGTGTGGCCTTTGTGGCCTTGGATTTCTAAAGACATAGTTTAGGGTTTGGCATAGAACTGGGAAGATGAGCAGGAAGGAAGTACGCACAAGATTGATGGGCAAAGGAAGAAAATCAAAAGCTCAAGCCTTTTTCTTTTGCCACACTCAAGACACTTCCTGACTGACAGTATCTCACACAGAGGACTGGGACGTAGCTTAGTGGTAGAGCACTTGCCTAACTGCATGAGGCCCCATGTTCTGCCTCTCGTGGTGACTTCCCGGTGCTGTGAGAAGCACCCCAACAGAACTGGGTGGGGCCAACTGTTCTCTAAATCCAATAAAACTAAAAAGAATATTATAAAAATTAAAGTTCTGATACTGAGTTTATGTTTTAAATATCCCCTGGGGTTGGCCTTGGGTTTTAGTGTCTTACAGTTGAGGTGCCTTGATGTCTTTGTGGCTAACAGCATAAGGAATCCCCTAGTTGACTGTCACCATCTCTCTTGCATGTCATGTTGCTGGCCAATCCCTAAACCTTCTATAGCTCCTTACTACCCAAGGTACAAAGCTGCAGAGTCCTGCAAAGGCATTCAAGTCTTCCCCTCTTGCTCCATCTAACTGCCCCGGCCTCTTGCACCATGCACTGTCCTGCTGATTCCAGTGGTCTGTGTCCCCAGCCCTTCCAGGCTTCCCTGTGTCTGCTCCTCCTGGAAGGTTTGCTCACATCGCTCCCCAGGTCTGATCTGCTATCCTGAGCTTCTCACTGATACTCCTAGGAGCTCCTGCTGTATCTGATCTGTGGGGTACACCATGTCCATTAGCCCACTGGGTCATCTTTACAGCTGAGCCTTAAGCTGTCTGAGGGCCAGGGCCACCCTTCTTTCCTAGCATCCTTCTTCTGTGTCTGGCAGGGTAAAAAGCCAGTACTGCCACTTTATAAAGATCTGTGGAGGAAAGGGTCATTCCACCTGGAAAATACTTACTTATAGTAGATATCAAATCTTGAAACCTTTCCTTAGGAAAGAGTGGGTTTTCCAGTCCTCGGAAATACAGTTTTAAAACACCAGCAACCGAATTGATATCTCTTTCATTTTGGTCATCCACAAGGGGGTCTTCACCTGTGTAAGAAAAGGAAAAATGTTTTGAGTTGGTGTGGACAGAGAATGGAAGAGGAAGTGACCTGGCCAGTCTGAATGAGAAGGAAGGCAGATGGGACAAATTTGTGAACCTATGACCCTCAGTCTCTGCAAGTTGAAAGTTCCTATGAGAAACTGTTCCAATCCTCAGAAAAAGGATAAGCAATAATGACTGTCCATCACTCTTTGCTTAATGGTGCTGCTGTTTTCCCTTTCCCTATTTATAGCCACTGTGGCCCAAACATTTGAGAGAATTTTAGGCATCACAACATATGACACCTAAATTCTTCAACACATTTCTCCTAAGAATCAAGATACTCTCATATAACCACAATAACATTATTTCACCTAAAAGAATGAACAACTGTTCCAAAAATAACACCTCGCACAGCCTACATTCTAACTTCTCCAACTGTCTCATAATGTCTGTTCTGGAACTTTTTCAAACTCAATCAGTGTTTATACAATTCATTTGGTGGTTGGTGGTTGTTTCTTTGGTTTGAGACATAGTCTCTATATGTCCTGGATGATTTGGACCTTGTGAAAATACTCCTGCTGATTACCAAGTGCTGGAATTACAGGAGAATGCCAGCATGCCTAAATTTGGTGGCTGTTTCTTTAGTCTTGTAGGTACAAATTAGACTCTAACACTTTTTGTGACTAAGTTTGTATGTGATAATGTAATATAGACTTTCTGAGGAGTAGAGGCCAATTGTCTTACAGAATTGCCTCATACTCTGGCTTTCTCTCATTTTCCTCACACCCTGATTCAGGTTGAATGTTTCTGGCAAGAATACAGAAGCACAGAACACCAGGTATCCCACTGCTGGTGACACTGTTTGAGCACTGGGTTAAGGTGGTAGCCTCAAATTTTTTTACACATGGGATCTATGAAGTGATACTCAAAATCCTGATACTTTAAACTTGCTACATGTCCCTGTGCTAGACATGTCCCACCCCTATGGGGTCAGTCTCCAGTGATGACTCTTGCCTTGTTACACTGGGCGCTGCAAATGGGTTATTTTCTCATTCTGTCATTTCTTCTGCATTTCCTAGCTGGCATGATTTTGTAAAGAAGAGTTTTTCTGGGGATGGAGAGATGGCTCAGTGGTTAAGAACACTGGCTGCTCTTACAGAGGACCTGAGTTTGATTCCCAGTACCCACATGGTGGCTAACAACTGTCATCTGTAACAAGTTCCAGGGGAATCTGAAGCCTTCTCCTGACCTCCACAGGCATTGCATAACACTTACACATATGGAGGCAATATACTCACACACATAAAATTAAAAATAAAAAATTTTCTTGTGCCCCCTACTGCCTAATTTGCAAACAGCTTTGTAGATTAATTTTTGTCTTTTTTTTTTTCTTTTTGGTCTTTTCAAGACAGGGTCTCCCAGTAGCCCCAGCTGGCCTGGAACTCATTATGTAGAGCAGGCTGGCCTCAAACTCACAAAGATCCACCTGCCTCTGCCTCCTGAGTACTGGGATTAAAGGTGTGTGCCACCACGCCTGGAAATTTTTGTCAATTTTAATTCATTATAATCACCATGTTTGGGGATGCTTAAGTCATCCCAAATTTGGCCAGTGGGAGTTCTTTCTTGTGTTCTTTTAATGTGATCTCCATTGGGCACATCTGTATTTCCTAGACAAATCCTATCCCCAGGTCACCTTTTACTTTCTATGACCTGGTACAGAATCCAACATTTCTCCAAGGTGGGGTGTGTGCATTGGAGAATGGTGTTCCAAAGCAAATGTGCCCACTACTACTAGGGTGTTAGTAGAGCTGCCAGGCCCTCAGTAGATAGGGCCAGGACACACATGTACATTTTATGAGCTCATACTGATATTTCCCATTCCAAAATTATGTTACAAGATTTTCTTTGCTTTGTGATGCTCCTGCTCAGACTCCTTTATCCTGGGATTATAGGCATGAGCCAACATCCCTGGGCACTTAACTTATTTTTTATTTTATTTTGTATGCGTGTGTCTGTACACACATGTATGTACATGCCTGTGGAGCCCAGAGGACAACCTTGGCTGTGATTGCTCAGGCACTACTCACATTATTTTTTTAGACAGGGTCTCTCCCTGGCTTGGAGCTCACCAAGTAGGCCAGACTGGCTGGCCCGTGAGCCCCAGGGCTCTGCCTGTCTTTGCCTCCTCATTGCTGGGCTTTTAAGTGTGTACCACTAAGCCCATCTTTTACTGTGGGTTTGGGGGGATGGGGTTCTTGTTCTATGGCAAGCATTTGACTGAGCCATTTCCCCAGCCCTGATCTTTTTATTTTTTGACAGTGCCAAAGTACATTTCATTTTCAGTATTCAATAAATGACACAAGAGAGACAACATTTGACTATAGAATAGATTTTGTGGCAGATAGTTTTATTCTGCTGTAGGTCAATGTCAGAGTTCTGAATGCATTTAAGGTGGGTGTGGCTACAATGTTTGGAAGATTAAGGACGACCAACACATTTTCAGCATGTCGAATGTCCAACTTCTGACACGTTTATCAGTAACCCCTCTGTAAATGGAGAAGAATCTGTACATATTCTTCCTTACTATTGACAATCTTGGTTCTGATGGTCATCTGCCTTATCCTATGCACAAAATAACCTCAGAGTTTTAAGAGTGGTATTATCACTGTTAACAAACCTATTATGTAAAACCTAAGATTCACTTCAGGTACATTTGTTTTGGGTACTTGGGACATGGCCAGAAGACAGGAAATAGATTAGCAGGTGCCTAGGGCTGGGGGCCATGGTGTGGGGGATATACGATTGGCCACACATGGGCACAGGTGTCCTTTGTGGAATGATAAAAGAATTATGAAGCTGGATCACAATGATGACTGCACAGTTGCTTACAAATGAGAAGTCCAAAGCAAGAACTTTAGAAATAGCATAAGTTGTGATGTCATTCAACACAGCTCATATGCTCAGAGTCCATGTGCAAAAGTTACTCTATGATCATCAATGTGATACACAGCTTATTTCTGTTTGTGTCAGTTATAGGGACTGGGTTTTTTAGAAGTCCTTTTCTAAATGTACAGTTTTGAAAACAGAAAGCATTTACAAAGTCCAAAAGTCAAAACAAAACATGTACATGCAGGCGTGTGTATTGTATGAAATATGCAGGTGCTTGGGTGTGTGTGTGTGTACCTGTGCAGCAGGTGTGTGCAGGCCATAGGTCAGCATCAGTGGCTACTCTATTGCTTTCCACCTTGGTTTTCTTGAGACAGGGTCTCTGACTGAACCTGGAACTTACTGATTCAGCTAGCCTGGCTGGTTAGTGAGCAATGACCACCCCCCCCCATACTAGAGTTACAGATGTGTACTGCCATGCCTGACTTTTACATGGGTGCCGGGATTGGAACTCAGGTCCTCATGCTTGCCTAGCAAACTCTTTACTGACTGAGCCATCTCCTCAGTCCCCAACACCAGATTTAGTCACTCTGAGAGAACTACTCTTATCCTTCTCCCTTCACACCTTATATTTCACCATTTTCATTAGCTCTGACTGTCTGCTACGTTTCCTTATACAGCTGAGAAGGAAATACATGTACAGTCAGTCCTCCATAGTCACAAGTTCCACATCCAGGGATTCAATAGCTGGTGAAGATATGTCAAAGAAAAAAGTTGTACCTGGAGACAGGGAGATGGCTCAGTGGGTAAAGTATATGTTGCACAGCATGAACACCTGAGTACCGCCCTTGGCACCCATGTAAAAAGACAGGTGTGGGAGCGTGTGCCTGTAATCCAGCACTGGGGAGGCAGAGATAAGAGGCTCTCTGGAGGTCATAGGCCAGCCAGTCTAGCCAATAGGACAGCTCCAGATTCAGTGAGAGACTGTCTCAAAAACAAACAAACAAAAAACCCAAAAAACAAAAACAAAGGTGGAGAGTAATTGAGGAAGGCACCTGATGTCGACTTCTGGCCTCCACATGTACATGCATGCATTTGCACCCACACAATCATGTGTATACACATTATCACACATATACCCCATACCACATACATGTACACATCACACAAAAGAAAAAAATTGTGTCTGTACTAAGTCCATATGGCTTTTTGTCCTTCTTCCCTATGCAGTACAACATAACAAGTACTTACATGGCATTTACACTGCATTAGGTACTGGAAGTCATCTATGGATGATTTAAAGTGTGTGACTGGATGTGTGCAGGCTCTATGAAGATACTGCATTTTAGTAAAGGCCTTGAGTGTTCCTGGATTTTGGTATCTTCCAGGATGGTTCTCAAAGAAATCCTTGAATATACCAATGAACAACTGTTAGTGGCTTTTATTGACTCTTATTTCTTTTTTTAAATGTTTTATTTATTATTTTTATTTTATGTGTACGCCTGCAAATAGGTAAGTGCACCTGTGTCGTGCAATGCCCAAGGAGGACAGAAGAGGCTGCTGGATCCCCTGGAACTGGAGTTACAGACAGTTGTTAGCTGCCATGTGGGTGCTGGGATTCAAACCTGGGTCTTCTGCAAGCACAGTCAGTGTTCTTAACTGCTGAGCCATCTCTCCAGCCCTGGCTCTTATTTCTTATACAAAATGTAACTGACTTCTTTACACATTATCTTTACTGGCTCTTTCATTAACAAATCCTGGAAATCCCTGTGTATTATTTCACAGAAGTCTCAGTCTTTCTTTCTTTCTCTCTCTCTCTCTCTCTCTCTCTCTCTCTCTCTCTCCTCACTAGGTAGCCCTGGCTGTATGACTTGGTAGGCCAGGCTGGCCTTGAACTCACAGAAATCTGCCTGCCTCTGTCTCCAGAGTGCTGGGATCACCATTCCCAACTTCCTTTTTCTTTTTAATGGCTGCAAAGACCCCTGTTATACAGGGAGACCACATTTCATTCAGCTGACCTCAGATGGATCCACATTTGACTCTTAAAAAAACTGTATTACATTTATTTATTTATTTACTTATTTATTTATTTGTGTGTGAGCACGTGTGTGTAATGAGG